CTTGTTTTGTATATTAGGCAAGTCCTACAATAAAGATACTTATATATTATATCTGTATACGTACATAATATGTACATACAGGGGCTTTCATTTCGAAATTTGCCACCCACGTTATCTGCCTAAAGAGACAGATTTCTGGAAATCGCCGGAACACGTCAAGAAATTAACGCACCCCCTCAATAAATTTTTTGAAATGTTTCGGCGATTTCTAGAAATCTGTCTATTTACGCAGATAACGTGAGTGGCAAGTTTTGAAATGAAAGCCCTGTACATATTTACGTATAATATGCATAAGGCTATTTTCGAAATTCTCGAATGTAGGGCTCAGAAATCTTACCTCTTTAGGACAATGTGACCATTCAATTGTAGTTATATTTACCAAACTACAGTAAAAAAATCAACTGGTTATAAATCGTTTTTTATGAGCCAGTAATTGCTACATTTTTGAGAAAGGGGACACTGCAGACCAAACCATATATTTTGTGGCTCAAATCGAATTTCGAATTATTTATAAAATTATCTCATTATTCACCTGAAAAATTAACTGTTAACTGTTAATAATTACATTTGCATAATCACCTAATCAAGGTATTTTACATGTGCTCACTAATGCTCACTACTAGCTACTACTTTTGCAACTTTTCGCAATAGAAAAGTTAGACGTATTATCAATACGAAGATGCTCGAGAAGATTTAGCCGGTGATTGATGAATAAAGTATTACCGTGAAGTCGACAACTTTTGAGTGTAGGACTGGAGAAATGTACCTCTTTATTTGTAGGACAGTGTAACCATTTAATTGTAGTAATATTTACTAAGCTACATTAAAAAAATCAACTGGTTATAAATCATTTTTTATGTAACGTATCTGCTACAAGTTTGAGAAGGGAGACAGCCTAGATCAAACCATTTATTTTGTCGGACAAATGTTGTTTCATATTATTTATGAAACTATCTCAACATTCAGCTACAAAATTAACTGTTATTATTTACATTTGTATGATCACCAAATAGACATGTTTTCCACCTGCGCACTCTGTTAGCTACCTGTTTTTGGAATTTTTGCAACAGAAAATTTGGGCGTCTTATCAAAATGAAGATACTCACGAAGATTTAGCCGGTTATTAATGAAAAAAGTTAAATCGTGAAATCGACAACTTTTGAGTGTATGACTGAAAATAGCTACCTGTTTATTGGTAGGACAGTGTAACCATTTAATTGTAATAATATTTACCAACCTACATTGAGAAAATCAACTTGTTATTAATCATTTTTTATGCAACGTAATTGCTACATGTTTGAGGGGGGGGACATCGTAGACCAAACCCTTTATTTTGTCGGACAAATGTTGTTTCAAATTATTCATAAAATTATCTCAACATTTAGCTGAAATACTAACAGTTATTAATTAAATTTTCTTAGTCACCAAATCGACATGTTTTACACCTGCGCAGTATGTTAGCTACCTGTTTTCGCAATTTTCGAAGATAAAAAAGTTGGGCGTCTCGGTGAAATGAAGCTGCATTGAAAAAACTAGCTTGTTATTAATGATTTGGAAAAAAGGTCCTCGGCCCCCGGACTATAATTATTAATCCAATCCACTTAGTATCCGGATAGAAAGCATGAAATAAACGTAGTCGTAGATCTTAATTGTTTTTTTAATGAAAACTCTGAACGACATAATTGATAATAGTCCAAAGTACTTTTGCAAGAACCAACAGAAAAATTTAACAGGAAAATTGGCCCATTGGCTGTACGGAGCTAAGAGGCAACCTGCAGTGTGATTTTTTTTTTTTTTTTACGGATATGCGCACTCGCAAGGAAATGTCCTATCACGCTCGAGAAGCGGCAAGTGCGCGGATTCTCGATACGCACGAGGGCACAGGACAGGGTTCTAAAAATTTCCAGCCTTTGTCATGTATAAGATTTTACATGGAACTGAGAAGGACAGGACACTTATTGTTCCCAGACGAGTGCTGGGTGTTTTGAGAAGTGCCTTTCAATAAAAAAGAAAATAATTGAAACACTTTTGGAAAAAATTTTAGTTATTAAATATAATAAATTATAATTTTTTTTATATATTTTTTTCTTCCGCGATTTGCCGCCCCTTGGCTATGCCGCCCGCGTGCGCCGCACGCCTTTGCGCTTATGTTAGCGGGGGCCCTGATTGACTTCTCTGCAAATTTCACTCGTCCTACGGACTCGTGAAATTATAGAAAACACACAATCGTGAAGAATTATCGGTAATTTTGAAGCTCTCGTGGTATTGTCCCCGAAAATAACTTAAGAATCCAAAACAAATAAACTTATGCAGGATATGAAAACTTTATTTTGTGGCTCGATTGACGTAATAACAGTTGCCTTTGGTTTTAGCCTCGGCTTTAGCTAACAATTTTTTTTTTCTACTACCGCGTGTGAGGTTCTTACTTTACGCACTGTTCAAAAGACGTGAAAATAGATTTCACGCACTATTGCGTAAAGTAATTCTCAACAGCAAAAAGGTTCATTAAGGGCGGGTATTATAGAACTATTTTGACAGATAGCTGAAAGTTAACTTCTAGAATTACCATGAGAAGTAACGTCATTCAAGAAGTTAACTTTTAGTTATTCTGTTGATAGTTATTTTTGTATCTAGTGCACGAAATGCTACTTTGGTGATCGAGAACTGATTTTTTTAACGAGGCGCAGCCGAGTTGAAATAATAGTCGAGATCACAAAAGTATTTCGCGAACGAGTTGCAAACAATATTTTTTCTACAACTCCATTTAAATATCGATCATTCGAAGCTAAAATTGCATTACCAATCAAAGGCAGGTGAATTTTAATTATTTTTGGTTTGCTGTCAGGTATCAGGTATTTGTTACCTAAGTGTGCGAACTAGGCATTTCGCACACTGGAGAAGCATTTCGCGCAAGGCGTCATGGGAACGTTGAAAAATCCATACCTGGGGAAAAAAGTGTCGCTTCGCAAATTGTCATCAGTATGCAAACATCATCTTTTTTTGACAGTTGTAGAAAAAATAGTTTTATATTACCCGCCCTAAATCGTATTAGTTTCTACGCAAAAATGCATAAATAATAAATACCCACAAGTATGAAATTTTATATCATAAAAGCCTTTGCTGCCCTTCTTCTGCACTAAAAATGTGATTTTACTTTACACCCTAGGTTGTGAATTAAGTTAGACACTAGGGCGTAAAGTTGTGGTATATTTTCTCAAATGTATGACTATATTGTCGGTACTAGTATTTTTTTTGGTATAAAACATAAACAGATGTCTAAAGTGAACCTTTTTTCACAAATGTATGAAGAAAGAAGCTTTACACACTTGTTGCATAATTTTTTTTTTCTACTACCGACAATATTATAGGCGGGGGATATAGATCATAACGCTCGAATGCCATAAATTTGAAAAAAATATACCACAACGCCCTAGTGTCTAAAATACCTAACTTAGTTCACAACCTAAGGTGTGAAGTAAAATCACATTTCTAATGCAGAAAAAGGGCAGTAAAGGCTTTCATAATATAAAATTTTATACTTGTTGGTATTTATGCATTTTTGCGAAGAAACTACAATTAGGTAAACTTTTTTGTTGTTGTGAATCACTTTACACAATAGTGTGTGAAATTAAATTCAACGTTTGAGCAGTGCGTAAAGTAAGTACTTTACGCAAGGCAGTACAAAAAAAAAATCAACTAAAACCAAAGGCAACTGTTTTTATGTCAAACGAGTTAAAATATGTATTTTTTGTAACAAGTATGGTAACTAAAAAATCTATATTTTGAGTACGTAAAACAAACAATACTTTTTTGTAATAGCCCAAAGATGTGAAGTGAATGTGACAAAATTAAAAATTTTAAACTGATTATGCATTGGCAGGTGCGACAGGTACCTGCAAACTGACAAGGTTGCTATGACGACTTTAGGGAACTAGGCCGAAAATGAAGCATTTTACGGTGTAGGCCGAAAATGAAGATTTATTGACTAGGCCGGAAATGAAGCAATTTACGGACTGAAATGAATCCAAAAAATAGCTATTTTTGGGAGCGTATACAAAAAATAGAGTTTTCACATCCTTTTTTTTTGAATTCTCAAGTTCTTTTTGACTATATTTCGCGAATTACTCAACCTATCACAAACTCAAAAACTGTTTTAAAATCAGAGAAAAAAGCGCATATTTTTTTAAAAAAATTACTAAGAAGTACCTAACGGTTCAGAAAAAAAAATGAAGAGAACCAAATTCAATTTCTATTCTTATTTTTTATTTTTTTCACAGAAATACAACCTGTCAAAATAATTTTATATTTTCATTTTATTCTTTATTCAAAAATAAAGGTTTTTTTTTTTACTTCACAGAAATCGGTTAATAAATGAGAAAGTTACGATTTTTTTCAAGAATATCACCAGCCGCCATCTTTAATTCATCATGGCGGAAAAAGCAAGCCTCCTAGGAGGTGTAACTTTTTTTTACAGAGTACTATTGATGGGTATTATCATCTGTGAAAAAATCAGCTTGATTGCAAAAACTTCTCCTATTTTTGCTAACTGCCCTGGCCTACGATACATTATTCGGCTTCTTTTCAGCATAGGTCAAGATTCCACATGCATATTTTTATAATAAATGTCAATAATGTAATTTAGCATGATTTAATGACAAAAATAGCGAATTAGTGATAACATTATATTTAAAATTTGTAATTAAGATGTTTAACCTCAAGATTATCATGTTTATTTCATAAATACAATTTGCATCTGTGTTTTTATTAGTTTTTCTTAGAAGCAAATTCAACTTTCAACCGATTTATTTGTGAGAATCAACAAAATCCTATGTATGAATAGTGTTTGAATAATGAAACTAAATTAAATTGTTTATCTACTCTAAAAGCTTACTTATAGTGTAAGACGTTCTATTTTATTATATATTGCATGCTGTGCTGAACATTCTAAGCTCATACTAACTCCTACTCGTATGTTGTACAAAACACATTGAAGTTATTACCTGGCTCAACGCAGGAAATACATCTACAAGGTTTGGGACCGTATACATAAATACTTTCAGGCGTACAATATGGTACTCCACACGGTTCATGGCATTCATTACAAGGTCCCCCTAAAGTAAACGTGTAAAAATAATATTAAAGCCAAATCTCTACCTAGTTAAATAATAAATACTTACTTTGACAAATTCCATTACAGCAAGTAAATACATTGCCACAAGTTGGGTGTCCATCGAACGAAGAATTATAGCACTTACCTCCAAGTTCTGGAAATTAAAATAAATAAGTAAAACACGTTTTAATGTTCATTTAAAGACATAAGTACCTGGCGTAACACATACTAGACACTTGCAAGCACCTGGACCAGGTGTTGAGACACTAAAAATATCACAAAATGGTTTTGAACATTTACAGTCGAGTGGTTTCACTAAAACTGGTGCATCTTCAGAAACAGCAAATGAAAATAAATTAAAGGAAATATTCAAGAATAAAAAGAAATAAGCAGGAGAAACTGATTTCATTGTAGTTAGCTTGATAATTGCTTAAGAAAAGGCTTTTGCTTGTTATTTTATACCTGCTGAAAATAAAAATTATGGAAATTCCCATCGCATATGTAGAGAATCTTTATGCAAAATAAAAAAGGTCACGTCGGTTCAAATAACGTCATTAACTTGTTTTCTTTCGCATGCATTAAAATCCGAATTCAGATGAATGAAAATAGTAGGTATATTGTATGGACGCCATCATCAGGTTTTAAATAGAACTATGCGTGTGAAAACTCTTGTCTGAATAATTATGGAATAGGAATAATGCAACCAGTTCATTTATTGATAACAAACAACTACTATTTTAAGGAACTGTTTTATTTCTTAAAAAATGCTGCTTGAAAATTTGTTGCCTAGAAAGAGCATGAATCATTTTTATTATTTACAAAATAGTTAATTGACTTGCTCGGGTCATTGAAAAAGATGGAACATATTGATTTATCTAACGGAACAATAACATTTCCACATTAATGTACTTTTTTTCAATGACATAGGTTTATCGTTATTGATCAATGAAGTAGACTAATGAGACCGAGCCTTCACATTAAAATGCGTTCTTGCCTTTTGATAGGAGTCCGAAAATGTTACTTTACCGAACTAGTCATATAATGAATTAATTTTTCTGCGATTGACAAGAAATGTCAGCATTTTTGACCGGTTGACACACAGATTCACCCGTCCTAAAGATAGGAAACTCAGGCCTTTTTCCCTATCCTTGTCTTACTCATGCAGCGATTTGTATGACTGCCACAGCACGGTGGCGCTAGTGTGCACTTCGGCGTGTCCAGTATTGTGGCAGTAGTCACGTAGTTCCCGCCTTTTTTCAAATAATTTGTCTAATAAATCTCATTTTATTATTATATCCTATTTATTTGAAAATAAAAAAACAACATTTCAGTACTATCTTCTTCTTTAACAGAACAGTATTTAACACAACAACAGAAACCCGTATTGAAAAAATAACACTAAAAAGTTGAAGGGTCTTAGTGCACAAATGACACTTTAAGTGAATGTCAAAAATGGCAAATAAATACCATCACTAAAACCATTTCCACAATGTTTACATGTAACATAAAGCCTTTTTTGTTAAGAACATATTAGAAGTCAAAGTTTTACCAAAAATTGATAGAAAATCAAATAAAGAACACTGACGCGCATCAAACGGCTGATACAATGACAAATTACATTCATTCACAGATGACATTTGCTTGTGGCTTTGCTATACTAGCGCCGCATAGTGGCAGTCATGAAACTCTCATATGTGTTATTTTTAGACAGCTCTGAACGAACATTTAACATGGAAGTTTCCTATCTTTAGGACGGGTTAAGGCCGGGACACATCTATCATACATTCTTCCGATCCGACTCCGATCATACAATCAAGAGCCGTATTCTTGGAACAGGGGACCAGCGTTTCCAGGAGAACGCCTGGGAACACTGCTCCCTGTTCCAAGAATAAGGACCCTGATTGTATGATCGGAGTCGGATCGGAAGAATGTATGATAGATGTGTCCCGGCCTTTAATTTGTGGGTTGACATAAACTATAAATATAACCCCAAAAAAAGTCAAGTAAAGTTGACAGCGTAGTCCCTAGCCTCGTTTTCATTTGGTGTTTGTATATCTTGTTTTTGTTTGGTTCTCATATAGATTTATTGTACTACTGTTTTTCTGTACATTTTGCTACAAAATGATAGACGAATTGATTTTATTGGAGTCCAGGGATGATTCTGATTATGATTTTGAAGAGGCAATCTTGTTGGAAGTGTTGGAAAACAACATGAAATACAGAGGCCATCTTTAGGAGAGGTTCAACCTAGATGTATCGTCAGCAAACGAGTGTAAAGTTTATTTTCGGTTCGATTTTGTAGAAAGTACTCGGAAGTCCAAACGAGTTTAATACAAGGATCCACATAAAATTCCAGGAATTTGTATTTTGCTGAGGGGGTTAGTAAAGTTACTGAAATTTGGTCACCTTCTTCTGTAAAACGAACTCTGCTTCTTTACATTCTTTCCGATATTACACTGTACCTATAAGTTTATAATAGAAGATTTCATTATGAATGACTTTCTGATGTGTGTTTGGTGATTGTTAAAGTGTGCACCTGTCACATCACTTTCTGTTAATTTAATCAAACGTTTTGCAACCATAAAGCCATAGCGAATGCACCGAATACTTATGAATGCGTAGATTTGACAAGATCCTGTGTTACCTTAAACTCCAGAGGAGGCAAATGGGGTCGTTAATTTAATGGAACTCGTTTGACTATCACGTTCACAATCCCCAAACACACATCGCTTCATCGCCTCTTGATAAAACATATCACGTTCTCCCAAAACTGCCATAATTATTAAATTTAAGCCCAAAATTGAAAAAATAATAATAACATTGACAATGCTATTTATAGGTTACTATAGTCGTATTCACGATAGAGTTTAAATTTTGACCGTTATTTTCACCAGTTGAAAATAAATAAAATCCCCAGATCTGTCCATTTTCTTGACAACTATCAAATAATTAGGCAATTCAAACCACGTGACATTCAAGATGGCGTGGCGGCCACACATGTGCCAAAAAACACAAAAAAATATCTATTTTCTGCCAGAATTAATAGTTTAGGTACCTAGTCAACAAATATTTTATTAAATAATCAAAATCAAAGTTGTAAACAAACAAAACTGTATGCAAAATAATTTAAAATACGCATAAAAACATATTCAAAACAAACTTGCTTGGCCGCCACGCCACATTGAATTTTCCTTTTTGACAGACGGATTGAATTGCCTAATGATACATGACATTTTGATTTGACACATAAAAATATCAGATTCGGGTCTTTGAATTTTGAATTTCGAATTTTTGTGTGAAATCTTTCAGTTTTTTGCCGCTTTCTGCATTATTTTTTTATTTGATATTATCGCAATCGGTTTTTTGGTTTTTTATGTACTGTTCTGTGCCTTTGGGTTTCGGTGTTGCGTTTCAAACCTGGTTTTAGTTTGGATTTGAGTGTTTACTCTCATTGTAAGTGTTTACTTTGGACTCTAATTTTAGGATTTTTGGATCATAATAACTTAACTTCCTTTAAAGAAATTGAGAATAAATTATTATTCTGAAATGTACCTATATTACTTTTCTAAATACGACCCTGTCATTTATCCCAGCTAACGGAATCGAAGCGCTAACGCATGCTGACAACCTAAAGAAAAAATTTACTAAAAATGTCAACGCGAACTGTCAACTTCACTTTCTATCGTGATTTAGTCTATAGCTGACCCGGCGAACTTCGTACCGCCTCTGAATTATTAAATATAGGTACCTATTAAATGTTGTGTTAACGTATCTATTAGCTGAAATAAATTCAGTTTTTTTCGATGGTGAATTTGGCTTTGGTTGAAGAAAATTGATGTTTACTCTCTGCATCAGAAGTCACCTAAAATTAAAATTTTACATCATCCCTTTTTAGGCAGCTTGTGGGCGTTATTCTTGTAAAGTTCACCACCAAATAAATAAAATCAGGCACAGGAATGTTCAAAGAATGTAAAGAAAACAAAAAAAAATCTCTAGCGCAGCCCTGTTTCACTCTATCTGCACTGCATGCACTGCACTACTCCATCTGTTCTACTCTATCTGAACTACTCTATCAGATCTACTCTTTCTGCCTCACTCTATCTGATCGGAATAGTGGAATAGTTCTGTTCGAAATAGCTCCAGTTCCTGTGCAGCATTGTTCTACTGTATCTGCAATGCCAAACTTCGTTCCAGGTATCAGAGATGGCGCGGTATACAAAATACAAAATAAACTTGGTATCGGTTATAAGAGATGGCGCTTGTTTATAACTAATGCAATATTAGTTTAATGGACTGTATATTTGAATAAATTTCTTTTATTCGGAGAGAAATTATCTTGAACTAGACAGAATTTTTAATTTATTTGACAAATTTTATGACAATACAATCAATACCAGTTATTTTCCAAATTGACCTTTTGTTTGGACGCCATATTGCGGTGCGCGAACATAGTTGCCAACAGTGGGAAAAAAAATAACTAGCGTTCTGTCAACTTTAAAATCCAAAGTTAGTGAATAAATTACATTTAAAATTTAAATTTGCCGCCTATTACGAATGTTTTTGGAAAGAAAAGCCATCAATTGTAGCTTTATTGGGCAGAATAGAAATAATAAAATATCTAGTTGACAGCCCGCTAGTAATTTTTGGTTTTCTTGTTTTGGCAACTATGTTCGCGCACCGCAATATGGCGTCGAAACAAAAGGTCAATTGCTTGTGGATAACAAATTTGCTGGTACTAATATAATATGTTTAGAAACAATAATATTTAATAGGGAACATTAAATTAAATATGAAATAAATAATAAAATACAATAACAATCATCCTAATAAATGATGCAATTAGGAAAAGGATATAATATCTTATCTCTGGTTTTCAAAATCTTCAATTGAAAATGCCAAATAATTCGAAATTCTTGACGAGATCAAAAACTTATTTCTATGGGTCCTGACGTCAAAGGGCAGTAATAATCGGGACGCACCGCTGCCACGCCATGTGCTGCTGGTGTTGTCAATGTCAAATCTATCATAAACGGCATACATAACAACATAACCATAATCTAAATCTACCTGCTCGCAGGTCATTGTCAACCAAGGACTGTGAACGGAATTTTGTTGCTGAGTGACGTCACACTAATCGGTCGTTTCAAATGGCGATGTTTCGAGCGTAACTTCAAATATTTATAAAAAATTAACGGCTGATTTTTAATGCTTGATATTTGGCATGACTATGTCTTTACTGTAGTACAACACATTTTTGAAATAAAAAAAAAATATGCAAGTTCCCTATTTAATCTAAATCTAATTTAACATATCGCCCACCTTGAAAGGATGTGGTACAACATATTTTCCACAAAAGAAAACCAAAAACTTATACTAAATTAAAATTAATAGGTACCATAGTTTAAGAATTTAAATAAATTCCTAATTCCAAAGGTACCTAATTTAA